CGGCCGGGGCAGCAGCGCTGAGCAGCCCCAGCACGGGCAGGGGCCGCTCCTGCCCGGCCGGGCAGCGCCCACGGCCAAAGCCCACGCCACCCTCAGCCCTGCCCGGCCTCACCAGCCCTGGGGCCTCACCCAGGCTCTCGCGTGGCCCCAGCACATCCCTGCTCACTGCTCTTGCTCCAGGCCTTCAGCTTCTCCCTGCTGGCTCCTCTCAGTGTCTGCCTGTCCTCAAGCTCTTCAGGACAGCTGTGGTGGCAAAAGTGGAGGCTCTGCAATTGGTTGCAAGGCCTGGCAGAGCTGCAGTCCCTGAGCTCTGTGTGCTCCCTCCTGGCCCCCTCCATCCCCTCAGCCCCGCCGTCCTCTCGGCAAAGCCCCAGCCCCCTCTTCAGTTTCTTGGGCCTCTCCCAGGCCTCTCCCCCCGCTCAGTCCCTTCTGAGCCGTTGTGTCCCCTCAGAGCCGGCACAGCCCTCAGCCCGTGCCTCTGTCACCTCAGTGCCACCATGGCCCTCTGCTCCCCCACAGCCCTCAGTGCCCCTCACACCTCAAGGTTTGCAAGGTCCCTTCAGCATCAGCGCCTCCTCAGCCCCCTCAGTCTCAGCGTCCTTCAGCAGCTCCTCACAGGACAGTGCCTGGGGCCAGCGGCAGCTCCCACCGCTCCAGGGACAGCCAGGGCTGCAACTGCTGCTCCGCCTGGCCCGGCCCCAGCTCGGACCCAGCACAGGGGGACACAAGGGGCACAGCGGGAAAAACAAGAGATGAAAAAGGCAGCCAAGGGGGAAAGAGGCAAAAATGCAGCCTAGGCCTACACAGCTCAATCTATGGACCTCTACATCCATAGAGCTCTAACTAAAGAACTATGCACATTTAGAAATGGAACTGTGTGTGCATATAAATGTTACTCTCTACAACTATAAATGTAAATTCGAAAATCTATAAATGTAACTGTATACATAGAAATAAAATCCTATTGCATCCATAACTATACATACAAACTCTACAGATGTATAAATAGATACACCTATAAATACAATTCTATCAATCTCTACTTATAACTATATCGATAAATAAATAATAATAAAAAAATCTCTAACTATATTTATAAACAGAGGGATGCCACCTGCCCGATGGTCACAGGCTCTCCCTCTGATCCTTCTTCCCACGCAGGGCAGCCCTTCTGGCCAGGTAGATCACATGGATATCTGGCAAGGAAAGGCAACTCTCAGTCAATGCTGGCCTCCGTGTAGCTTTCCCTTTGCAAGTAAACTGTCCTGCTAGCAAAGGCTGTCAAAGATGGCCTGAAAGGCACACTCTCACTTGAGAATTTGAAGCCTGCTCTTTAAAGGGAACAGGGATCCTTCCAAGTTTTCCAGTCTTGTGAAGTTTTGAAGTACGCCAATCAATTCACAACCCTCCCAGTGCAAATGGCACCCCCGAGAGCTTGAAACACAGACAGTGCCAGCTGCCACAAAGAAGCCCAGCCTTGTTCTTTCTCTGGGCTGACGCAGAGACGTCAGTCCTCACTGCAGTGGCTGAAGCTGAAGGCTGCTGTGAGCTGGGAACCAATTGGGACACGCAGCTTGGTGACACAACTGCCACCAGCTCAGGTTTCTTGCCGGCTCTCTTGCCACAGCAGAGGACTCGGTGTCAGAGCCTCTGG